GGGTAACCTGGGGGAAGTGTCATGAGGGTTGGGTAACGTTGGGGGTATCGGGAGTCTATTCTAGGATTTCCTCATTAATTATGCAAATGAGGTCTTGAGTTATCTTGTTGACCAACAGATAGAATGACAGACAAACGCAACTGAAAATATAACCTCCATGACATTTCATGGAGTAATGAAGACTCTATTTGCATAATTGGTGCCATAGTGGTTAATGCCGGGAATTCCATACTTGCGGCATTTGGAAATTAATTAAAGGTAAATATTATTAAACATAACTTATTCAAATTTGGAGATCATTTACATAAGTTATGAGTAAATGCTTTTAATAAATAGACATCTGTGTTGAGATAAGATTGACATTTGTGGGCCGAACATAATTTGGCGAAGTCTATTGGAAACTGCTGGTGGTGGGACAGAATTGCGCTGCAGACATTATTCTTTTGAGTCGCCAGGTGGCGCTGCGGAGTGAGCACACAGACAGGACAGAAAGATAGCATTCCATCCAGTTCTGAGCGCGCTGATACTCAATTCCGTGTGTTTATACGTACATTCTTGGAATAATCACAATGTGTAAACATGATCTAGAGTCCTGTCAGTCTTTGAACTACTTAGATAGCTTGATTTGCTTTTCTTTGTTAACACTCAAACGTAGGTTTTCAATCTATTTCCAAACCCGTCATACATATTTAGTTCCACTCCTTAATTCTGCATGGTGTCAGAAGTAAACAATTAGTAGGTTTATTGCAAATTCATGCCCGAAGGATAATTGCAGAGAACAAAGGATAAAGAACATTTACACAGAGCACAAAATAGTTTCAAAAACTACACAATAAAAGGTAATAGTCTAAAGCTATAGCTATGTCCAAAACTATATCTGAAGGGTTTGACTTCTCCTTTGTAAGCTATGGAAGACGTAATGTCCCATCTTTTCCAAAATAGTTTTGGGTAGTTAAGAGAAGAATAGTTTTTTCTCTATCTGCAAGTTTAGGATGGAAATGTCACAATGTGGCACTCTAATAAAATTAACTAAGAATAAGAAGAATCGCATCCCGGACATGTAGTTGGTGGAAAGCTCGTTTTACTGGTTGGAAATAGATCTTATTTCGAGGACGGAAGTTAGAGGTTAGGTCCATTCACCAGTTTCCCATCCCCAGAATGCAATGCGAAAACAGGGGTCTAAACCTCATTTGCATAGGACAAGAAGGCATCGGAATGATCCCGGTGACGTTTAACAGCTTGCTTTTCACTGTGTTTTGAGGTGTTGAGGCATTTTATTAAATTACTATGGGTTGAATCTGACAACGAATAGAGAATGATTTTTTTTGGAATATGTGATTTGTAACGTTATAGTGGTAACGCTATACTGACAGGTAAGGTCGAAAATTTCCTACTTTGCTCACGTTTTGTTTATTTCACCAGTTTAGTAGGCGTAATGAGAGACCTGAGTGATTAGGCCTTGCATGACCAGAGAGGCCATATGAAGGAAATGAGGTCAAAAGTGGGATTTGTTTACTGTTGTCAGCCGTTGTCTGATTTTGAGCTGGTAAACTCCCTTTTCTGTTTGTATACTTGTGAGGCAGACCCTTATGACTTTCTGGTGCAGAAGAATTGGCCAAACTGAATGGTGATATCTGCCCCTCTACTCAGCTTTACTTAGATTAGGCCACACCGCCTTAATTTTATGGATGACATCCCCTGAAGACCCCAAACTAGTGCGCGCGGGCGAATAAAAAAATATAAAATAAAAATGCCACAAAACCACAGTAATACAAAGCTGGCATATTGTGAATTTGCGGTAGTACATAGCGACGTTTACGACAACCCGGCACATGTTGGCTTTTTGCGGCATTTATGAATTGACACTGTACGTATGTACTGAGTTCTTGAGTCGTGGAGCTTTGGTAGCCTGGGTGCCATCCTCCAGAGTTACCAACGGCTCCCTGTTGACGCTAACTACCATGGACCGTACCCAGGCCTAGAGCCAGGCCAGAGCCTCAGAGTGCGTGATCTTTTTTTTTTGAGAACAATCGAAAATCTATGCGCGCGTGTATGTCATCCATAAAATTAAGGCGGTGTGGCCTTAGACGAAAACAAGGCCACAACGCCTGGCCATGTCACCTACAGTAGCCCACCACCGTGTCCCGGGAATGGACATTTAAAAAGAAACGATTAGATCTAGAAATAGGTAAATGTGATATTGACAGATGTGTAAACTTATAATAAAGTACCATGAAAGAGAAAAGAAGAAATGTTAAGTTATGACAAGCTGTTCACACACACTAAATCAACTCCACTTGATATGCTGTTGGTGTGTGATTCAAGCTGTACTGGGTTACGTTTGCTCAAGTTGTATTAAGGCGAACGTGTAAGTCGCTGCTGCACGCATGCACAAATATGCACACACACACACACACACACACACACACACACACACACACACAAACACAAACACACAAACACACACACAGACGACTTTATTGTTCAGTCTGTAGTACGTAATTCAGCGATTTTATACGCTGCCATGTACCTGGATTGTGGTCAATAAAGTATTATTATTACATGCACACATCATGAAACACTAACTTTATTAAATGCTGACGTTTCAAGCATGTCTTATTATATTTCAGTCCATACCATGGTATGGATGAAATATATTGTGTTCCCTCATGTTTCTCCTCCTCCTTCTCCTTCTTCTCCTTCTCCTCCTGCCAAACAGTCAAAGGGATTCAACTCCGCCATCATTCAGCCAAATGACCTGAAATTTGGCATGGAGGTAGAGTGGGCAAATACCCCCAGACGTTTGTTTCATTTTTTTGAAACATGCCTTTGAAAAAATTTTATGAAGGTTTTTTGGGGCATTTTTCGACAAAAAATGGATTTTTGGATCCTGAGCCCTGGTATTACAACCAAATGATATGACATTCGGTATAAGGGTACCTTGAACGTGTGTCTACAGAATAGCAGTCATGTATTTGGCATACACCACTTCCAAATGACTCATTTGGGAGACTTTAATGGCTATTTTCAGCAAAAAAAGGGCCAAAAGTGCTGTACTCGTTCCATGTTCTACCTAAAGAATGGCCGGTTCCATCCATAGAACACGTGTTCCATTGCGGGTTACCTGAGGTCACATTGCACCTAAGTGGTGCGTAATGACCCACACATTCAATTTTATGTGCCTAAGACCTTCAAAATGTATCAAATCTCATCATTGTTAGTTTTTGCATACCTGTAATAAGATTAGTAAAGCTTTCGAGATTCAAAGAACTTGATGTTGCATCTTTGTTCTCATATAGCTACTATTTGATTCATTTATTTGAGAACCTTTGCCAGTTTTGCACTGGGGTAAGTTTGGAATAGTCCACTTTTGCGTGGGAGGGAGATGGACTGAAATATGCTGTATTTGCTCCCAAACAAATGTCGGCCTTTCTAGTTTTCCTTGAATTTTCCATCGCGGTTTTTAAAATCGAAAATCGTGTGTTTCCCTTCTACCATACTCCCCCAGCCGTCCCGTCATCACTGGACCGTCTTTAGATAAGCCACACAAAATTTACTTTGCCGCCACGACAGGATGTAACACGGCCGGCGGTTCGCCTGGTCTGGTTTACAAATAAAAGAGTCAGGAAGATCTCTTTTCCTGCGTCTATAATAGATTTATTCACGATACGTCCGCGCTGGCCCGGCCGAACAAATAGCCGAACTCTACCTCCCGCTTTGCTTTTCCTCCTTAAGGTAAAGAGAGGCGTAACTTTACCCGTTACATTTTCTCCATGTCTTTACCCTGATTGTGTGCGCTTCGTGTTTACTTTGGCGGATTGTGGTCCACGGGGGCTCCAGTGGACCAATCATCGGTCGGCATTCTCCCAGGGCCGTACTTAGTAGAGTCAACACTGGAAATTCCCCGACGTTCTGTACTGGTTCTCCCCTGAGAGTGGCCGTGTGTGGGGGTACAGTCTGCACAGACCGGCTCTGCGTTAATAGGCCGGGCATTTTTTACCCCCGAGAAGTCGATTCGACGATCCCGATTGACAAGTTCCCAGGTAAGACCAGCCAAGATGTCTAGATAAGCTAGAGTACAGAGTGCAGACAGGAGTGCAGGTCTGAGGTTGCATGTTTGTTCTGTGCTGTACTGCCAGGGTGGCGGACTGCATACATACTTAAGTTACCGACATGCATACAAGAAGGAGTCATATCCTGTGAACTATCGTTGAACTTGTGCTGGTACTTTTTAAGGTGCCTTTATTGTAAGACGTAGACTCATAGCTATCATGTTTACACCTGGTTGGACTGTGTTGTACCGTGTAAGTTACCTGTTGCAGAGGCCGCGCCTTTCTTGTTTGTTTTGTGATAGCCTTCTTGGTTTGACCTCAACATCGACCGTTTCGTGACATATCAGAACATGTAGCGATATTCAGCGCACGCGAAACCCAAAATGTCTAATTCCAGCCTATATATACTAATACAAAACACGTTAAGCAACAAATACTTTGCACATTGCTCAGCTCTTATGGTATATCTTTGGCCCAATTGTCCGACTATATCATAAGGAATGTTATAGACACCGTAGGTCCAAAATGCAGACTTATTCTTACACGACAAGTTAACAGACGCCTCTACAAATGCTAGAGGTTCAGCTAAACATACCAGAGGTAAAGTCATGGCAGACTGTCCGGGTGACGCCTGCAGGTTATGTTTGTCCAGTCTTACTGGTCATACCATTGGAGAGATGCCATTCCCTGAGAGGCCACCACCCCGTGTGTGTTGGGGTGTTGGGGGAAGGGGGGGGTCTTGGTGGGTGCTATTTAAGGGGGCCTGCATGCCCTTTTTTGTAATGCGTAATCAGGCATTTTTAGTATTCGTAATACGTAGGCAGTCTCCCCAAAAACCAACGTAATTCGTAGTGGAACATTAACTGCAAAGCGTAAAGTCGTAGACTTGTCGGTGGAAATTTTGCGTAATTCATAATCCCCCCCCCCAGGAAGGCCCAATTTAACCTTCCATCACTCCATTGTAACACTGGATCTTTTCTCTCCTCTTAGTGTCCTCTTTTCACTCCATGCTTTACTAAAATCAGTGCGTCTAAAAGATTAAAAACAACAGGATCAAGATGGCGGCGTAACAAGGTGTACAAAGGCACACACACAAACATGAAACATGATCCTTCAGAATGGAATAGTTTCTGATGTGCAGGAGAAAAGTGGGAACATTACGTTATCCTACAGCCTTATCGACTGTACATGGTACATATGTACAATTGATAGTTTTAGTTATGATGATTTGTATGACATATGTACAATAAATAGTTTTTAGTTATGATGATTTGTATGAAAGGAAGAAAATGCCCTTATGCAGAGTGTAGGGTGGTGCCCATATCCATTTCTGTAGCCCTTGGGCGACACACAGTTGTGCAAGTCACTATGTAGCAGGGGCTAGTCCGCTGGTAGTGCTGTGTGTTTGACCTTCCCACACTCTTTCTCATATGTGCTGAGTGCTATTAAAGCAGAGAAAGAAGTGTGTACCATTTTTAAAGTCTTTGGTATGACCCGGCCGGGGTTTGAACTCACGACCTCCCGGTTACAAAGCGAGCACTCTGCCAATTGACCTATTGCACCGATTTGTATGACATATGTACAATTAATAGTTTTTTTTGTTCTTGAAGGTCGCTAGGTGACGTGGGAGAGCAGTACACATCCGTGATAACGTCGGGGACAGAAGTGTGACGATGGCGGTTTGGAGACTGACAGTCGCCGTGCTGGTTGCTTTGACTTTGGTTCAGGTAGGAGCTTCAGACATGCCTTTTTTCTTAACGGAGTGGTTCAATGCAAGGCATATACGACCACTTCTAGGCATTGGACTAGAAATATGAGAGGAACATGGCTATGTCGAGAGATGGCGGTGAACGTTTGATTTGAAAGCCTGCAAATTGTAAATTGGTGGAAACACTTGTCAGGGAGGGAATTCCAAAGCTTGACCTTACGGGGAAAGAAACTGTCACTGTAAAAAGATTTCGAACAAGGAATTTGGATGGTGAAGTTGTGTGAGCTAGTGGAAAACCTAGTGGAACGCTTAAAAGTCCTGAGTGTTGGAAGTAGTTGGGTTAGTTCTGCAGAGCAATGACCGTGGAAAATATTTGTAAAAGAGGGATAGAGAGGCAACATTTTATCTATGTGAAAGGGGGTCTAACTTGGAGACCAGAGGATAGCCTATGGCCACGCAAATCCTCTTTTGTATGCGATCGAGAAGGTGTAGGCAATCGATTGGGGCACCAGCCCAGAGGTGCGAACAGTACTCCATACATGCCTTGTTAACCGTGCAACTGCTGTTATGTGGGTGCTGATGATATGTTATAGTCTTCATAAACATCAGCAAAGTTGTCTAGATTAGTTGGCATATTACGTGAGCGGAGTATTTCTTGCCTGGACTCACCCATGGCGGATAAAATGACGTGGAAACGGGGAGTACAAAAATAACACAAGTCCGACAGATGATGATGAGGTCTGTTTTATCAAGTTTATGTTGAGTGTATTTAAGAACGAAATTTTACTGTATTAAATACATCGGTATCGATAACAGTATGCTTGTCCGTGGCAATGCTGACAAAGATAGGGTACTTTGCCAATTCTAATTAAGTTGCTATTTTAACTGTTCTTTTGACAAATTGACGTAAACAGCAGCTTGTCCTATTAAAACAGGTTTGTATATTTTTCATACTATGCACAGCTTGGCGTATACTTTGATCGACATGCATGCCACAACAAGTTAGAGAATATAACATTTGACTTTCCCAAAGGAAATGCAGTCGTGCTATGGAACTCGCGTCGTAAAATATGCTAATAAAACACTGACTGTCCGCGTTCTTTCGTCGCCTCCGTAACGACACACCGTGACCTTTGGCGAGATGTGGACGTTTTAAAAGTGTGGTCTTTTCATCTTAATTTTGTCGAACTGGTAGCCGTTTGAGTACAGAAATGGTGACCAGTGATATGGGCTGTACAGTCTCCACTTCCCTTGCGCGGGTGGTCCTGTAGTGTTTTTGAGTCGCTTTGTTTTCACTCATGCTGGCCTGTAAACATTGCGGTGTTCCACGTTAGTACAGGTGCGTTACTCTACACGTCAAGCGCCGGTGGAAACTTTAGAGACTTTTGACCCCCAAGCATAGTCGACACACGTACAACAGGTCAGGAGAGAAAGGCAAAAATTGTTGATAACCGAATGTCAGGTGCAGAATCAGCAGTTTGCGAACAAGGGTGATCTCAGGTGTAGCCCGCATGAGTAAAAACATCAAGTCGACAAGGCTTACCTGTTGTTATCAAGAAACTTTGCTTTCTTAGCACAGTCGCCACAATTTCTCCATACTTTCAACTTTTAGAAAAGACTACGTTTTTACTAAGATCACAAAATCCACTCGTTATACGTAATGTGGGACTATTCATTATCCACTGTCTTCAAAGAAGAAGTCAAACCTTATAATAGCTAGCGTAGTAGTAGAAGTATATTTTTTTCAGACAGTAGTTGTCTTTCTCCTATTACTGTATTGTGCCAAATAGTATCTTTGACTGTAAAAGCAATTCGCCTTTGGGCATGATTTTGCAAAGAAAAGTCATTACACTTAATATTTTCTTCTGGGATTGTGTAACTAACAGATTCTTTTCTTCTATAAGGAACTTTTAAATAACGAATGATACTACGAAATCGTTATGGTTGTTTTCTCGTCCCATGTACGTGGTCTCCAGGTTAGCCTGCTCAGAACCGTTGATTGAGAAGTGGCACCTGAACCTAGCTCACGCCAGCCGACCGACTAACGAGTATTTTTCAGAGGCAAAGCTAAGAGACTATGAGTCACAGAGATTCTAAATCTGTATTTAGATACCAGCAAAGAGTCTCACCCGATTGCTGTTCTGTTTGGACGAGAGGCCACGCAATATTTGGTCTGGGTCCACAAGTCGGCTTCACATACCAGAGAAGACGGCTGCACACTGTAGAACTGGAGCAAACATCTCCATTTGGCTCTCCCGCTTTTTATGGCCCTTCAGATTTGGCACGATTGTACACAACAGGGCGCTTTGTTTACCGTCAGCTGCCACAATTCAACACGACAGGGCACATAGTGTTTTACTATGAGCTGCCACACACGACAGGGCACATAGTGTTTTACCTTGAGCTGCCACACACGACAGGGCACATAGTGTTTTACCTTGAGCTGCCACACACGACAGGACACGTAGTGTTCGCTATGAGCTACAACTATTGAACACGACAGGGCGCATAGTGTTTATATATATGAGCTACACTATTGAACACGACAGGACACATATTATTTACTATATATGACTACAACTATTGAACACGACAGGACACATAGTGTTTACTATATATGAGCTACAACTATTGAACACCACAGGACACATAGTGTTTACTACATATGAGCTACCACTATTGAACACGGCAGGGCACATAGTGTTCTCTGTGTTGCCACTTTCACTAATTGCGACTTTAAAATTCGGCGATTCTCAATATATGACATGGCAATTGACATACTCGTTCCAATGTGGCGGCCCAGGAGTCTTAATCTTAGATCATTTCAACTGCTACTGACCAAGTACTTTCCGCTATATATGCCCTTCACCGATCTATAAACTGTAAACTTCCACGGGCGATGGAATGCGAGCAAAGTGTTGACATTCTTCGATGGCCCTTACTCAAATACCTGTAGTTGACAGAACCTCGGAGATTAACTATTAACTAAACCATGGAAGGCACCACAGTCTAACGATTGATATGGTAATGATAGAGGTGGGTATGGTTACTTCAGTTTTGTGTACTGAGAAAGACTAGACCTTATTACAAGTAAAATAATGAAAGTTTACTGCAAATACATGCCCGAGGGCTAATTGCAGTTACAAACAACATAAGAAAGAAAATACAGTGGTATGTGAGACTATATCTACGCCCGTAACATTATACTGTATTCTACAACATACATGGTACTAGTTTTACTGGATTTGACTTGTTCTTTTTCGGCAATGGAAGATGAATTTACCCACTTCTTCTATAATATGTGGGTTCTTTGATTTTAGTAGTAAAGTTGTTTTTTCTTGGTAGGGAGCATTAATAATATTAACCACGTCAACAACCAGCAAATTTCTCCAACGGTCTTCTTGTCCTCTAGTTGGATACTACGTGATCATGTACAATGGTTTTGACCATGACTTCTCCAAGCACGAGTCGTTCTGCATCAGTCTTCTCTTGGTGCAGATAATGGTATCGCCCTAACCGCACCCCTCTCATGTTCCATGTTTGACGAAACCCTTACATCCCCTGTAGATGTTTACTGTTGAAAACAAATATTCCCCAGAAAATTACGAAACATTTCCTTTTATATAGAGTGCGCCCACCAGTTGTCTCTAAGGCCACACCGCCTTAATTTTATGGATGACATCCTCTAAAGACCCCCAAACTAGTGCGCGCGGGCGAATAAAAAAATTCTGGCCCAAAATAAAAATGCTACTAGACCACAAGAATACAAACCTGGTAATGGCATTGTGAATTTGCGGCTGTACATAGCGACGTATAAGACAAGCCGACACATGCTGGCTTTTTGCGGAATTTATGAAAGAGCACGAGTTCTTGCCGTCGTTCGTTAGCCTGGGTGCCATCCGATCCAGTGTAACAACCGGCTCCGTATTGTCACTAACTACCATGGACATGAGTCCTAGTCTAGAGGCGGAGAGCGTGATCTTTTTTTTTTAGAACAGGCGAAAATCAATGCGCGCGCGGATGTCATCCATGAAATAAAGTCGGTGTGGCCTAAAAGCGGAAATCTCGGACCACATCGCGTGCTTTTCTCTTATTCTAACATCTGAACTTTGCGGCCGACGTTACCTCATTCTGTAAGTAAACCAAAGAAACCAGTTTCCTGTTTATTAGAGGTCCCATGCTCCCATGCTCTTATGCAGAGCGTAGGGTGGTGCCCATCTCCATTTCTGTAGCCCTTGGGCGACACACAGTTGTGCAAGGCACTACAGCAGGGGCTAGTCCGCTGGTAGTGCTGTGTGTTTGACCTTCCCACACTCTTTCTCATATGTGCTGAGTTCTAAACAGAGAAAGAAATGTGTACCATTCTTAAAGTCTTTGGTATGACCCGGCCTCTTGGTTACAAAGCGAGCAAACTTAGAGGGGGCAACAATAATACTTTTGAACCCTCAATGTTATCATTTATTTAACATAGTTGGTCGACCTACATGTTTACTAAGGGCCCGATAAGCGTCTATTAGCATGTTCCTTTTGTCTGTGCTTCTTTAATTTTGATATTACACAGTTTGCACACGAGTTTTTGTTTGTTTGTTTAAAACCACCGATATATTTTTTATTCATTTCTACCATATTTAAAAGCGAGAAGTTGATATTGTAGTGTTAACTGTATATTTTTATTTGTTCATCATGTTTGTTGTAATCTGTACTTAGCTCAGTGTGGCAAAAATGTGCAAGTTCTATGATAAGGCCACGTTGATTTGATTATATGGATGACATCCGCGCGCGCATGAATTTTCGGCCGTTTCAAAAAAAAAAGTTTTCAACCATACTGTAAATCGTACAAAAACGTTGTACAAAATGAGCAAAAATATACCGTAAGATACAAAAAACCATACCAATGTCGTAGAATGCCAAAATCAAGCGAAAAAAGACGAAATTGTAAAGAAATGAACTTGAAGACTAGATTATTCGCCAAACCATATTCTGTCCCATTTGTTCAACCCTCATGACCACGTAGATTTCATAATGAAAACTACTTTTTTTTGCAAAACTTTTTATTCGCACGCGCGCATCAGTTTTGGGGTTCCCGGAGGATGTCATCCATATAATCAAATCAACATGGCCTAACTTACGTGACAGGAATCAGATATCTTCAGACGTGTTATATACGCCAGCTGTATATACGCCAAATCTAGCTATGTCTAAAACTATGTCTGAATACGTAAGGTCACACCACTTCTGACCACGTGCGGGGCCGTGAATACCAGTGATGTTTGTTGTGTTTTTATAACCTCTTGTTACTTGCATGGCAAATCGTGTCCCTTACATTTCTTTTTTCATTCTTCTTCGTTATTTCTTGCCATAAACTATTTCATGGCCCTTTTCCGTTTTTTGCAGCCCTTTGCTCACTGGTATTTTTTTAAACAGCTGCTTTGTTTGTCCCGCTTCTGTGTGCTCGGTTTCAAATTCCTGAGGTAGGCTCCATGTTTGTTAAGGTGAGGTGGGAGGGAATGTCAGTAAGATGTAACAGCTTGTCTGCTGTTTGACTGCCCTTACTTCTCCTATCGTCACCCTGTCATTCAAACAAACAGACTTTCAGGACAAGACGATAGTTAGAATTTCCCTCTTCTGTCTGACGTGTTGCAGGTGTTGTTGTTTTATCCACGCGAAAAGAAGAGTAGTCTTCTGGATAAGTATGATATCATTGCCATCAGGTCAATGCGTCTGTGAAAAGAATTCTCAAAGGGTTTCAGGGGATCGAATTTTTTTTTACTCTTACAAAAAATTCTGACAAACCATCGCCTCACTGAGCCAGTTTCTCCAGGTCGGTCTAACTCAGGGTGTCATAGCAGGTTTCACCCCTGAAACAGTATGGCATCCAAACTACTCCCAACAACGAGTGATAGTATACAATAAAGAATATAGCTTCGCTTTTTCCAAGGGTTTTAAAGCGTTTATGCCTTTCCATTCGAATTCCAAAATACCATTCCCTAAGCCTTAGTATAAACAGACATGGTTCACAAAATGCCGTTATCAGTGTGTGCCCGAACCATTATTTGTGCAACCCAATCTCTGTTTACCTGTGAGCTAATTTCCCTGGTCTCTGATTGTCACGCGCGAACATTTTTGGTTATTTGTTATGTTACCTACACTGTTCCAAATGACAGAAAGGACTTGTTCAACGTCTGAAACACTTCACAGCCGAGACTCTAGCCGTTTGCAGTACTGAAGTGGTGTCTGGGCCACATCAGAAACATTGATAGTCCCTGGAGAAATATTTCTCACATAGTTTGATAGATTTTGAGGCAAGACGTCTTTGACCGTCTCAGTATCAGGTTTAAAGTCGGAAACTTGAGACATTCTACTTAATCCAAGCGTAAGGAAGAAAGTGAAACACAGTTCGGCCCCATGTTCTCATCCTCACCACTTTCCTCAGCAGGCCGCTGTTTGCTTCTGGCTAATATTTGTCTTCCCGCCCCGGTCATGATTTAATGTCACACGTGGTCAATTCTCATCACAAGACTATTTAAAGTTCGTGGGCGGAGGAAGCCATGACCTATGGGGTCTTGGGTCAACGGACCAGATCAAGTGTTAGATAGGTGGTCTTTCTCACGCGATGGCTGTTCCTACGCGCAACATTTTACTCCTTGTAAATGGTGCCTATATCATACTTAGGACGTGTGAAAGAGTGGGAAAGGCGAGGATTATCAAACATAGCTATGTGATTTATTCCCATATATAATATGCATGCTTCGTGGGGAATGATACTTTCTGGAAGACGAGGTTAACATTGGTAGGCACAAGGAATAATTTTCATTCTTTCTCATCTAAGTCTTTTTATGGCTTCTTTTATCTACCTTTTTAAAGGTATCAAAAATTAAAATCTCGTCCAATGCATACATGGCTTAATAACACCACAGAAATGGGGCCATACCTTTCAGTAACATAGGGCCAAACCTAACATGGCACGTCATACGTCCTGCCATATCAGTACAAACACAGACTCTGACAGCTGTTGTAAGTGAAGTGAGTATTAAAAAAAGCAGACCATATCACCAGCAAACACCCACTACTTCCCGTCTGGTCTCCGAGTTCAAGGCAGGCATTGTTCTCAAGCTGATTTGCACATGTTCAAGCTGACTAACATAAGATACGATACCACTGAAACAAGACCCCGACTGTTACATTTACTGGTATACTATTAAGTATTATTGTCTCTTCGCTCATTAGTTGCAAGTAGTCCTAAAAACGAGGGTTATTTGCTGACAAAAAGTTTGTGAGCGGTCCCAAAATTTGCGACATATCTTGGTTGGTGGTTACTGTTACATGTATATCTTGTTCTCTGGTATTAGGTATAATGATAATGTGAGGAACAATGGTGTTTAGGGTAATCTGTCTCTTGAAATCACTTATGTTTTCGGTAGTTGCCGGTTGGTCAGCCTGCCTGTCACATGGGCGGGATGCATGAGACATCGGAATGGCGCTGTTAGTCGAAGCTTCAGTGTTTGCAGGGAAAACAAGACACATAGCCGGGATTCTTCATTTGTGATTCCAGAGGAGTCGTATTTGTGATGCAAATCTGACAGCTAGACAGAAATCCTTTTGCCGAATTTTTGGTCGAAAATATTGGGAAACGCAATGAAGGTGGCCATGTGTATGTAGGTGGTGACCTCATCTGCAAACTGTGTCTAAAACATCTGTGTACATGTACATGCCAAAACTTGTATATTTCATCATTGGAATGATCTAGAGTAGCGTGCGTAGTCCAGTGGTTAGCGATCCTGTCTCTGGACTAAGAGGTTGGGAGTTCGAATCCCGCTCATCCGACATACACGCTACTGTTTAGGACGGGACGTTAAGCCGTGGTCCACTGTTCATTGCGATTGTCGAAAAGACCTAGGGGAATTTCCCCGGTACAATGAACCTGTAAATACTGTACATGGTGTCTGTCTTCTCTGTCACAACCAGTGGAAGATTAGCTCTTCAATGAGCTAGACTGGTTCGAGATCACTTTCACTTTCATTACCTTCGCCAAGAAAGTTATATTTTCGATGACATTCGTGTGTGTCTGTCTATGTGTCTGTCAACACGATAACTCGACAAGGCTTTGATGAATTGTCCTGATATTTGGTATGTGGGTATGTCTTGATGAGACCTCGAAAGATTAGTTCCCCGACCTTCGCCAAATAATGTAAACCTTTATGACTGAGAAATTATAAATGTTTCATTGTCTCATGTACTTTGCAAATAAGTTCGCATGAGTTATATCAGTTGTTTATATTCTGCACCCAATGACAGTCTTATTTTGAACAAAGAAAGCTATTCTAGCATAAGTATGCAAATGAGATTCTGATTGGAATAAGTTATGTTTGATGATGTTCAAGGTCACTTGACTTCCAAATGCCTCAAGTACGAAATTCCGTTCAATAACCATAGTATGGAATTGCAGACGTTTCTCATTAATTATGCAAATTAGCTCCTGATTTGCATGCTTGTCATCTAATTATGTCAAGCATCGCTTTAGCTACCTACACACCAAAAATCACGACCATCCGTCAACCCGTTTTTGAGTAATCCTCCTTCGAAGATTTTTCAACTAATGCTCTTGCAGTTCCAGAACAAGCCGACAGGGGGCGCAAACTCACATCACTTCTTTCCTATCACAAGAGCTATCTACCACCCAAAATTCGTGACCCTAGCGTGTATAGATCACGAAGTATGAAAACCGGAAGTTCTGCTGCAGTACCAATTAAAGCCGCCAGGGGGCCCAAAATCTAAACATTTCTCATCAAGACCTACCCACCTACCAAGTTTCATAACAATGCATATAAGAACATAACCTTCTTGGTGAAGGTAATAACAACATGTCTGTGTTTTCCAGGCACGGGACTTGGACGATGTGAAGCCCGGATCTGATCCGAAGATTCCTGACTCAAACGCCGCAGAAACGCGTGGTAAGTACGTCAGTAGAACCTACTGCGTCTGCGCGAAATCCTGGTCCTAAAATAATATCGGACAGCAATCCAGAGGTACCCTCCGTATGGTCTTACGTCAGTGGACGCCCACTGTAAACCAGCATTACGAGTGATATCATGATAAGGCCACAACAATTTAATTTCTTGGTTAACGGATTCGCCCGCTTCATTTTTTTTCTCATTTGCAAAAAAAAATTAAGAATCAGCTGCAAAATGCTCATATTTTGCCCTGAACAGTTGAAAACAATCATTTTCTTCCTAGTTGTTACAGTTATTCCATCTTGCAATAAAATTGTATCGTTAAAAGTACAAAATTCATTGTTTAGATTTTGAACCAGCCTGGTGTGTTGACTTCATGGCTCCTATCGTGCCATTTTGGGCCATAATAGGATGCCTAAGCCTGTTTTTATTTTTATTTTTTTCGCCCGCCCGCTCCATTATTTTTTTAGAAAAATCCGTTAACCAAAGAAATTAAATTTGTGTTCCTAAGGGAAGGGTTAAATTTCAACTTGTCCTTGACTGATATGGCAAGTTGACGAGTATTACGGGTTACCACGGTAACATGTACTGTTCCGATTACAGGAGTTTTAGAAAACGTCCGTACAGCATAGAAGCTTGTTTATCTAGACTAATGACGTATAATGGCGGAGCGCGCCAAGTCAGCCAGACAACAAGGAATGTTGTTTTAAGTTCGCCCTTGACTGCAATATTAGATCCCGGTTCACGAGTCAAGCTCACGTAGTGTCTCAGGGACGATTCTAGACACCACCATAGTTCCCATGAGGCTGGGGAAGGGTTTAGAAAGTACATGTAATCTTTTATTCGATCATTGTACTGTATTGGATATGTCGCCAAGTCCCGATTATCTGAACACCAAAACAAACCCAACGTTTATCTCGGGGTTCAGCTCAGGGTTTACGGTAGTGTGTGTGTGTGTGTGTGTGTCGGTATGTGTAGGTGTTAAAGTAGGTGTGTGGGTAGGTACCTATGAATGTGTATGTGGTATAGGAGTGTGTATGTGTGTATGTAGGTGGGTAGGTAAGTGTGTGGGTTGATTCATATACAGCGGTATACATGTATCCCCCCATTCCTACAGTATCAATATCTTGTGCCATACGCCGAATCAGAGCACCGTTCTTATGAAGCAAGTTTAAACTGTAATATCCAACTCAATAAATTGGACTCAAGGAATGAACAATCCACCCCTTCCGTGACGTCACGCAGATAACACACGTGACTCCGTGAGCAGTGGATCATAGGTTGCAGAAAGTTTGTGGCGCCCCCGTCTCTGTTCAGGGATGGTTGTAACGCCCTGATGTAGATGGCCTCTTTAATCCCTCGGGAAGCGGTGAATTGCTCATTCCTTGACAAAGACTGGAGTTGTACAGTCGAAAATTTATTGTGTTGGATATTACAGTTTTAACTTGTCTCATAATGATTTCTACCAACACAGATGAACTTTCAAGATAAGAGCACCGTTTTGTTTATTCTTACTGCCTGCCTTGACATGTGCCAACCGCTTTTTGTTCTCTTTCCAAACATATGACACTATCATCAGGCCAGCTGTATGGCTTCTCCTTGAACCCCCTCCTGAACTCCAAGGTTTTGCATGTTTCAGATGTGTGTGAAAACTTCAAGTGTAGGAAGCCGCCGGGCGCCATGTGTACCGTGGACTACAGTAAAGGCAACCCCAGGCCGAAATGTATCTGCCCAACAAACTGTCCTCGTGTAAGTATTACCCTGGGAATTTAAACTGCAATTGTAAATGCTCTAATGTTGCTTAGTTGTGATTTTGTAAAGAGGAGAATCAAGATTACTTTCTTACTGAATCCTCTTGGACCTTATTATGTTTACCGAAGGAAAACATAATTATTGTTTTTCCTCTACTTCTTCCTCTTCTTCTTCTTCTCCAAACAGTGACCTATGACCTGACCAATGACATGGTTTGTTGACGTCTGTCACCATGGTGACTGGTGTTGGGTTACATAATGTTGCAATTTCGTGGTCTGCTCTGCTCCTGTCACCAGATATAATATACTAGTAGTACATGTATGTGAATGTGTTTGAGTAAGAATTAACAGAGCAGACAATGTCCGGAGGTAAACATTATGCATTTGCTTATGCAAATGCAGTTTAGACCCCTGTTTTCGCATTGCATTCTGGGGATAGTAAACTGGTGAATGGGAAGAACGTGCTTTTTGTGATGAGTAAGACACTGTTCGGTTGTTCCTTCACAGGAAATGGAGCCGGTATGCAGTGTGTACGGCCGCACGTACGACAACATGTGCCGCCTCCACGTGGAGGCGTGCCGCAAGAAGAGACGGATCGAGGTGGCCTACCAGGGAGAGTGCATCGGTAAGAACTACAGAGGAAGAGTAGGACGCTTCCAAAGGAGTGAAAATCGATTCATCATGAATGTTACGTTTGATTAAATTCCTTAAAAGTATTTAGTAACTTTTATTAACAGTCGCTAAGTACTTGTCATCTCGACTTGGATACACACAAAGGATGCTTTAATTTGTTGGTAAATGTCGCTCTTTTACGGGCCATGAATGGGTAATGTTGCATAGAGCTTGCGTATAAGAGCTGTGTACATATAGTGAGTGTTCAGACTCCCGCAAATAACAGAATTTGCACTCTATGTAACTATAACTGTGTAGAGGATGAAGCAGACGTGATGAAGCAGACTTTGACTTAGAATGTGCGTTATACAATGACATCCGGAAAATCCTTTATTAGCTCCTTACAGTTAGAAAAGAAATATGCATACTCGCCGAAAATAGAATTGTACAAACATTATTATGACATCCAACCGCTACGGTGTAAATGAAAAACTATGTAAATTTGTTCATACATGTTTCAAAAAGAGAGAAGAGATCCTGTAGATAGAGATGTAGCACACAAATGTAACAACTGCTTCGTCTATTCTTGTACCCAAGTCAGCTCATTCATTCATGGCTTGTCCCAAGTTAGCTAACGTAGTGCATTTGGCCCATGCGTGAATTATGCAATAAACTTCATTGTCATTGTCATTCCTCCCTCATTCCAGCCAAACAGGAGCCCTGCACGGAGTACGAGAAGTCCCAGTTCCCGATCCGCCTCATGGAATGGTTCTTCCACCTGAAGGAGATAGACGAGTTCGGGCAGCTCAGTAACATCACGTCCGGCGCCACTCTCGTCATGACGGACAGGGAGCGCGCCAAACTCGCCAAGGTCGGTTTTTATATATACATATTACACTATTTTCGTATTACGAAAAGGTTTTTATGTATACCTCCGTGGTCATTCATACCAGAAAAATGGGTGAATTGTTTCGGACCGGTCGCTACGGTGGTTCGTTCGAGTGGGCCGAGAAATTCTGAAAGACGCGGCAAATTTAGGAGCACGTGTAGATCCGCGTTGCGATTGGTCAGGGCGGATCAAGTTCACACTTGATTGGCTAAGACAGGTCGTGCCCCGCCCGTGCTCACCACGTGATAGAAGTCCACTTGTACATCACCATTGCGTAACATCAATTCATGACCCCATAGGTATCTACATAAAAATCTATTACTGTATATGAGGAAAACATGCAAGTTAACAGAAACATAGAGAAAAGAACATTTATTTATCAAAGTTCGAAAAATCATCATAGGTATATATCAATAGCAGATACAACCTACTAAAATATTCAATACAAATGAAAGAGATGATAAAGGCGTTCTTTTGTTTCTTATACATATGAATGGTTTAGTTGAAAAAAAAAACATACTTCATACATTGAGTACACTAAGTTGGAAGCTTTTGGAAGCTTTTTTTACAATCATATACATATTATAAAAATGTAAAGCACGGCATATAACGTTACATAGCTTGTGCATAAACATTACTTTTTGCGCTAGACTAGTGCACATTTTATGTTAAAATTACAACTACAATTCAGTTACAAATTACATAAGTATTACTGACAATAACCTGACAATTTCTTATTATTATTCCAGTGGAAATATGATCAACTTGACAGGAAAGGAGATGGAAAGTTGGGCCGACGTGACCTGAAGGACTTCCGGTATGCGCTGATGCCCATGGAGCATTGCGCCGAAGCATTCTTCCGCAAATGTGACACGAACAAAGACAAAGGTGTTAACAGGGAGGAGTGGTACACGTGCTTGGGAGTTTACAGAGGTGCGACAACTATTACACTTGTGTCCCGTTTGTGAAAAATTCATGTGTCAGGTGAACCTAATGACCACCTCAACGACTGTATATTTATGGAAATGCATTCTTATTAAGTCTTGAGCTTAGAAGTTATTTAATGGAGGTATTGTTTTTGGCGTGTCTGTGTGTCTGTCTGTGTGTTTCAGCACTTTTGTAGTCAGCATAACTTCATAACGCTTTTATTGATTGTTATGATATTTGGTATGTTTGTAGGTCGTAGAAAGAGAAAGATCAATGTCAAATATGGGCCTCCTGGTGAATGACCTTGGTACTGCAGCAGAACTTCCGGTTTTTGTATCTTTTGTCCTGAACAAACTATGGTCTTGACTTTTTGGTGACAGATAGCTTATCCTGTCAGGAATAAGTGGCGTGGGTTTGGTCCCCCTAGCAGCTTGTTCTGGAACTGCAGGGCACTTTCTGGCAGCGGTTCTTACTTAAGACAGGTCTAATCAAAAAGTGAATCCTTGATTCTTGAAGTGTTTCTTCCCACAGATGAGGAGGAGAAGAAGATGCAGATGGACATGTTGGTGGAACCAGAAGCTCTGGAGGTCATGGTGGAGACCAACTTCAAGGAAATGTTGGATAAGCTGCCCGATCCGGGCATGCCGCCAGCATCCCCGCCTCAGGTACAGTAGACCAGATCAACCGTTCTGCTTTAATCTCCTAATTTACATGAAAACAAACAAACAAGCTAGAATGTAAGTACGACTTTTCGACAGGCTGGTCGTTACTGTCGTCGTTTGTTTGGTAAAGTCGTCTTTTACCTTGATCGAGGCGATTCAAGACACAAGTCGTATGTTACATGTACGTGTTAACATAGGGTTACCAGCGGGTCTGCTGAAGTTTGACTCGGTTTGCAATTCTGTTCCCTCTTGCTGTATCTTTTGTGTCCGTCGTCTAGTTTGTAGAGGAAGAAGATGACGATGACGAGTATGATGATGACTATTACGATGACTCCTTCGACTATGACGATTTCGACGTAATCGAGGATCCCGCTGATAAGAGGGACTTTGACAAATCTCTGACTGAAACCCCCAAGCTTAAGGTCAAGCAGAAAAAAGCTTGGAATGAAATGACGGTGGACGAAAAGAACTGGGCCGAGGTGGACCGGATGTTGGGTTTTGATTGGCAGGAAACGGTATGACGTCATCCCAAGACCCCCACCCTCATCAAGCCCTGTCAAGATTAATCCAACCCTAACCATCCACAACCATCCCGTTGTCTTGTCATGTTTTGTTTCCTTTTCAACCATCATAAGATGTCAGCGGTCCGCAATGTCAGCACAGACCAGCACTGACGACTTCGCAGCTGATGGGTTTAATCCTATTAGTTGGTTTCAACCCCACACTCGCAGGCGCTTCACCCCCTTATTCCCCTCATGCATGTACTGGTAATTAGCAGCACATTGTTGTAGCCTGTTAAAGGGGCATTATGTTACTTTTCTGTACGAAAAATTGAAATATTTCATTTAAAGAAATATTTGAGAAATGGCAATTTACTTCCACTTTTCAACATATTTGAGCAATTATCTCCCATTTCTATCATTTATGGTTGGCGCTAAAACAGCCCTTAAAAGCTGCGCTCAATTTGTGGTGCCACCACAAACTACCAGAATGTAAAGACATGTGGCTGTGAGCCATATTTCAAGTTTCAAACACGCTGTTAAGGCGTCATATTTTGTTTGGCACCTACACTTCCTGAATGACACGTATTTGGAATAGAGTAGAGCTGATTATACTTACTTTGTAAAGAAACGAACAGAACATTTGCTTTTAGTTCCGTTCTAATGTCATATAATGCAGCTTCAAAGCATCTGTTCACCTTTATAGAGGCAGTTTGCTTGTTATTGTCATTGTCCTTTTACAGCAACATATTTGTACTATTATAATGTGTTGATTTCCCTATCACCTTCATTTTCTCAGCCCAAAACGTATATATCTTCAGTTCAAAAAATACAAAGCGTGATTTATTGCTTTAGACTTTTTCTGGCATGCCTGTGATGACGTCACCAACTAGTGATGTACTTTTGTAGTCACGCCACTTCCGGTCATGACGTCAGCAATTGGGCAATAGACCCACAGCGCGACGACGGGAAAATATATACCTTTCACTTAGATTAGCAGAAACCAGTTTATTTTGAGGATTTTCTATTGAGCTGAACTTTCCATTATATTCTCAGAAACCTGATTCTGACGAACCAGAGGCAGGCAACTGGGCTTTGGTGGACAAAATGCTGAAGGGACAGGCTGACCAGCCGGCAGAACTGGTGGAAGGTTCAAAGGTACGTCATACGAACTGTGTCAGCTGTTTAGGCCACACCGATTTAATTTTATGGATGACATCCTCTAAAGACCCCCAAACTAGTGCGCGCGGGCGAATAAAAAAAATCTTGGTCAGAAATAAAAATGCTACTAATTTAAAACCACAGGAATACAAAGCTGGTATTGTGAAGTTTGCGGCAGTACTTAAAGCAGCGTATACGACAAGCCGGCACATGCTTCCTTTTTGCGGAATTTATGAGTTCTTCAGTCGTGGAGCTTCGGTAGCCTCGGTGCCATACTCAAGAGCTACCACCGGCTCCGTATTGTCGCTAACTACCCAGGCCTTGAGAACAGACGAAAATCAATGCGCGCGCGGATGTCATCCATAAAATTAAGACGGTGTTGCCTTATCAGAACGGACTGTAGATAACTTGGACACCATCTGCAATTATACCAAATTGAATACATTATCACGGTGGTTCTCGTGGTTCATCTTAGGAAGTTAACTAATTTGCAAACCCCCTCTCCTCCTCACATGGCACAAAGACCAGCTGCTAATACAACTCTTTTGCCTTTTCTGAGAATTATGTTATACTTCTACTCAGGATGAAGAAATTCTTGAGGATGATGAAGAGGAAGAAGATGAGGAGGAGGAGGAAGAGAAGCTGTCCCCAGAGGAGAAAGAAAAGGTAACATCGTCAGCACGGTTATCACAAACTCAGGGTAACATCGTCAGTACGGTTATCACTAACTCAGGGTAACATCGTCAGTACGGTTATCACTAACTCAGGGTAACATCGTCAGTACGGTTATCACTAACTCAGGGTAACATCGTCAGCACGGTTATCACTAACTCAGGGTAACATCGTCAGTACGGTTATCACTAACTCAGGGTAACATCGTCAGCACGGTTATCACAAACTCAGGGTAACATCGTCAGCACGGTTATCACAAACTCAGGACGAAATTATGAAGCAAGTTTATAAACTGTAATATCCAACACAAGAAATTGGACTCACCCAAATTTTCGACTGTACAACTCCAGTCTTTGTCAAGGAATGAGCAATCCACCGCTTCCGTGACGTCACGCAGATAACATACGTGACTCCGTGAGCAGTGGATCATAGGTTGCAGAAAGTCTGTGGCGCCCCCCGTCTATTTGAGGGAAGGTTGTAATGCCCCGATGTAGATGGCCTCTTTAATCCCTCGTGCAAAGAAGTCCGGTTCTGAGTCCAAGATTCTTACTTTGTTCAGTGAGACTGAATATCCAGGCGATTCTATGTGTATTGCTCATTCCTTGACAAAGACTGGAGTTGTACAGTCGGAAATTTGGGTGAGTCTACTTTATTGTGTTGGATATTGCAGTTCAAACTTGTTTCATAATGACTTCTACCAGCACAGATGAACTTTCAAGATCATGTCGAAATGTTCGATATGAACAGTCTGGTCATCAGGTCTAACTAGGGCAGGTTTATAATATCCAAGCATTCCTACGTTTCAATCAAATTGACTCGTACTTTGGTTTGAATATCAGCGCTTTGTTCAGGTTGAACCATGCCAATATTAATTTTTATCTATCTTTAAGATGGAGAAGAAGCGTCGTCGTCAAGAACGTCGTCGTCTGAGGAAGTTGGAGCGTGAGAAAAAGGAGCAAGAAAAGATGGATTAGGTCCTGAGATAATTTTAGTTGATCTGGTAAAATCAGTATGTTCACCTTCTCCCTACAGTTTAGTTGAACCTTACCTTGCTTCTGATGTCACTCACTGATGACCTGTGACCCTTCCGAGAGGGGAATTGGGAGGTTTGCTCTCTCGGGCATTCAGTAAGTTCAAACTAAGGACCAGTGGTTTACCATTGGGTGACATCAGAGGCTATAGCAGTCAGAGGCCACAGAAACAAAAACGAAATGTCAGACATATATGAGAAAAGATGTACTGTGTTCTAGGCAGAAATTATTTCATTTTGTGTTTGTTTTTTTCATTAATGTTTGTTTTTTGTCATTTCTTGGGATGTACCATTTTCAATGTGACAATATGGATGCAAGGTGTGATTAATTTGTTTGCAATCAGCTCGATATTAATGCTGATATATGTATATCTATCTATCCAATCAATCACATGCCGCTTCTTGGTATTTAGTATATCTTTCGTTGACATGCGAAAATGATTAACGTTACAGGTATATAATGTGTGTTTGCATGTATCTTTATTATTCATCATAAGCCTGCTTCACTTCGATATAATCATACAAGTTATCTATTACACATATAGAGGCGTGGTTACCTTAGTCTTGATTTGAATCTTTCTCATCTGATAAGTGACATGACGCTGTAGTTACAAGTAATGTGATTCAAGTAAAAAGGATCATTTAGCTCTTGTACCAAGTGTGCCGTATGTATTCTATCTCTGAATAAACTCAGTTAGCTGTGTGCTGAATGCGGTACGTACTTTCTGTCTTGGTCACTCTGTACAATATGCAGAACGCTGTGTTATACACTACACTTATGCAATACTGCTGTCAACTTAAACACAACATGAATTCGAGTTGTTGTTTTTTTTATTTCGTTGTTTTACTTTGCCTTATATTCAATATGAAAATAAGGTTGTAATCAGCATAATCTAAGGGACGCTCCTCAAATTACAAATATGTATGAAAATCCTTGTAAGTCCGGACCTAAACCCATGGCATATACAAAATTGCATGTTGGCAACCTTGCAATGTTTTCTGGGTGAAACTTTGGCCACATAACATGGAGGCCGGTACTTGACAATGCCTGATGGCAATGTTTTCTTCATTTTACAGTTAAGTTTTTGCAATCTACGGAGGGGTTTAGGTGGTTTGGAAAGAAAAGGGGTATGTGAAATGGTCTTTTATGGTAATAAGTCCGGACTCGGTTGTTAACTTTAAGGTTTTTTTGGACTTGAACCTAAACATTCTTACAAGTCGGGATCCAAGTCCAGTGAACCGGTACACAGCATACACCCTATTCATGCCGAAGCCATCTTGGATCGAAAACGAGGCTTGGGGAGCAAACAAACTATCACGTGGAAGCCGATGAAAGCTCAGTTTTGTCTCCAGATTGTAGCGAGAATTGTTTGTGCAGCTCGGCACACAACAGTGGAATTTCCCCATTTTCTTCGGCCCAGGTCTGGGACGCGTCTAATGCACTTGCTCCCCAAGCCTCATTTTCGATCCAAGATGGCGTCGGCATGAATAGGGAGTATTATAATAAGTTGAAGTCCGGCATAGTTTGTGCTGTCCCTGTTGTCCCTGCATGCTTCACTAAATCAGTCTCCAGCCCTGACTGTTCTATATGTGCTGCTAGAGACACAACCTCAGGCAACATCCACCGCTTGTCTGAGATCTTGAAGTGCATCTGTTAGTTCATCTTCCAGGCTGAGAATCATTCCTGAAAAGAACAGAGAAACTGGGTGAGTCTGACAGCTACAACCTGGCCAGTTTTCAACCTGACATTCCCCAGCTGTAGATGTTACCTGTTGACTATGGCCCTGTTCATATGAAGTCAGTAAAAGGGCTTTACATGTGGTTTCCCCCGAAGCCGGTTTCAAGTGACCCCATCTGAATGCTCCAAATCACATTGAAAGCGCCTCGATCCCAAACCACTTCTAGAGGTGGTTTCGAATTGGTTTTGCCGCATCGCGATTTGCGTCTGAACTGACACTTAGATGTTATTAATATGCTGAATACTAGTACTACTCTACATTTAACATCTTGACATACGTAAACCTACAAAAAAGCACCCACAAAAAAAATTGGGTGCACAGCTCCAAATTTGGGAGCACTAAGGTGCACAAGCACCCAGCATTTTGAGCCTTGGAAAGTATTTTTAGATTGTTGGCAATGATGTTAAAACATCATTGCCAACAATCTAAAAATTACAGATAGTTAACTTTGATTGATCCTCTCTCTGTTGGTACTTTATCAGTTGTATTGTTTTGTTATGGAAAGCTTATGTGGACTCATTACAATTTGAGGTCCCAAAATTTTGTGAAAACTTTAAGTTGATTGACATGCAAACGATAGAAATCACAATACAATTGTGATATGCATATTAAATTTGATACCATTTGTGCATAATGAGAATTAAACTGTTCTTCAACTCAAAGATATTGACTCACCAGATGTTTAATGTTAAGGGACACCAGATGCTTAACCTTAAGTAGGAAATCATTAATCAAATTCCATACTGATCTGATGCATCAAATCCAACACTTTTGATGGGAAACTGCTGAGTTATTTGCACTATAAGCAAACCTGCTGGTCTGTCAATGGATTGATAAGTAATGATTGATAGTTGACTCAGTGAATAGGCATTGATGATTCTTCACTACGCCATCTAATTCCAAACATTCTTGTCCAATCCAAAAATTCTGTGTCCACATTTTGAAGTTGGAAGTCAGGAGTGCCAGAGTATACAGTGCAATTTTACGGAATACAGTGCATTATAATCGTATTAGTATACAGTGCAACTTTACGGAATACTTGGACCCTGCTTTCCTTGCTTTCTCAGTTTCAAGATAGCGGACGCCGCTGACTCACATACTTCTGTCTTTTTCAAGCGAATTCGAAATGATCCCTGTGTAGTAACATGCCCTGTTTGTAGTATGTAGTGATTTGACTAAAGGTCTATCTACGAGAACGGTCCAAATTCGCTCGAAAAACACAGAAATATTTGAGTACGCTCCGAAAGCTGGGCCCAGGCCTAGGTTACAACATTCAAGTTCAACGACATTAGCAAAATTACACTGTATTCCGCAAAAATAACTAAAATTGCAAAAATTCAGTGTCCACATTTTGAAGTTGGAAGTGTACCTGTGTTAGCTGTACTGTTGGCTACCAGGGTGACCATCAAGGGGGCCTTGTTGAAGTGGACAACCTGAAGAACAAGTCATCAAATTAGAAAATAGTTTTTTTTCCAGACATGTATGGAGAAACATATAATTTATGTATTTGTATAACTTGCCTGATTGACGTGGCTCAGTGCAGACTGTCATGAGATACTGGTGCATTACCGTTAAACCCTATATGAATGATCTCTGTAATGGCAGACATTTGAGTAGAATGTACATGGAATGTACATTGCCAGGATGGATGTATACTAACCAAGATGGAATGTCCGCTTTCCAAGATGAGCGTTCATTTCCAGGACGAATATCCAGATTCGATTGGACAGGTGATGGTGTCCAAGAGTGCATTACATGTATATACTGGCTGACATTTTGACAGATATACATTTGTATGATAATGTAATCTAGCAGAACTATGTATATGTAAGTAAGTATAGATGTCACACAATATGATAAACAGTTATCCATAAACCACATCAATCAAGCGTCTGACCTGGTAGGCTGAGTACATGCAGACTATCCGCTGGTTCTTCCCAAGTCCCATTTTGCTGCCCTGGTCAGCAGCCATGGAGAAGGTGACCAGGAAGCCAGGTCTCAGAGCCAGCTCAGGGGCATTCTCATTGGACACTGTGGAGAAATGGAACTACATGTAAATAAGTGGTTTTTATTGTCCAAACAGTAACTGTGCAGTCGCAGCCTTTATACGGCTGAATTGATGCAGGGTATCATATAATAATCAATACAAATCACAACAATCAAATGATACACAAATCTGCCGCAAGGATCTGTGCGGCTGCCATTCGGCGCCACAAGGTGACCTCAATACGACTTTCCCCAACCGAAGTTAGGTACCCATTCACACCTGGGTGGAGTGAGGAAGGTTGTGTAAAGTGCCTTTCCCAAGGGAACAAACGTCGGGCGCATGTCCAGACATGTCCCGGGTACGACTCGGGATGGAACCCGGGTCTCCCCAGTTCATAGTCAAACGCTATACTACTATGCCACCCGACGCCACAGATTTGAATATAACAACCTGTCTGTGACTGCAGGCGCAGAACTCAGTGGAAGAGAAGAGAGACTATGGAGAAATAAAAGTCAAGGTTTATAGCATTACAATTGTAACAGGTCATGTTACATGCTGTAAGTTTAAGACTACTAACTAATCAAAAGTGCCACATCAATTTGATTTGTTGGTTCTCAGATTTTTTCAGTAAAAAGATGAAGTGACAGGGCGAAAAATAAAATAAAACTAGAGTTCGACAATCTCATACCTCCATGACATGTTAAGTGCTTTCGTAAAGCTTATGCATAGTGATGATCACATAAATGGCTTACATTTACAATCCTGCTCATTAGCAAAATTTTTATACAAATTATTCACATAGCCCCTACCTAGTAACATACAACACACTGGTGAAATCCTTACCATTTAACATGGACAACGTATGATATTGTTGGTTATATGCAAATATGACCTCTGACATACCTTTGCCAACTCATGTTTGCCATCCAAGCTGACGAATTATACATTTTTTTACTGCCAATATGCAAATTATAAGAGCCCATTTGCATATATTATATAATTTGATCATATTCTCCGCCCAATGACAGGGTTATCTTAAGAAATAAGGCTATTCTAGCGTTTCCTCATAAATTATGCAAATGAGGTCCTGATTTGAATAAATTATGTTTAGTGATGTTCGCCTTAATTGAACTTCCAAGTATGGCAAGTATTAAATTCACAGCAGTTACCACCATAAAATTGTACCAATTTTCCATTAATTATGCAAATTAGGTCTTCATTTACATAATCAATATCTACCAATGATCTTGTTGTTCTCAATTACATATGTCTAAAGTGTTTCATAGCCCTAATATGGAATACAGCAGATTTATAAAATTTCCTCATTAATTATGAAAATTAGATCCTGATTTACATAATTTTATTTAATCATGTCAAGCATCATTTCAGCTACCTACATACCAAAAATCATGACGATCCATCAAACAGTTGTTCAGTTATCCTCTCTCGAATATTTTTAAAGAAACCATCCTGCAGTTCCAGAACAAGCCGCTAGGGGGCCCAAACTCATGTGACTTCTTCCCAAGCACGAGAGCTAATTATAATCCAAATTTCATGACCCTAGCATGTCCAGATCGCGAGATATCAAAACCGGAAGTTGCGCTGCAGTACCAAGGGAAGCCACTAGGGGGACCAAAATCTAATCATTTCCAGTTTTCGTCACACCCTACCAACACACCAAGTATGAAACCAATCAATCCAGGCGTTCTTGAGTTATCTTGTTGACCAACAGACAGACAGATAAACGCAACTGAAACTAGAATTCAGAGATCTCATACCTCCATGAAATATGATCTTGATATGTAAATGTAAATTTCTTCTTTAATTGTGCAAATGACCTCTGCATTAACATGATATATGCATCGTGATGTATGTTAACTTTTGATTAACTTACAGATGTCCCAAGTATGGCATTCTCATCATTCACCATTACGAAATCATAGAATTTTCGCATTAATTATGCAAATTAGGTCATCATTTGCATAATTAGTATCTGTTGAAGTTCCACCTGCCATAGGTTACATACATTACATGTATGTAAGTAGTATTAAGGTCTCGGACCGGAGTTTTTTTCACGATTTTGGATCCGGCGGACACCCTCAGACCGAAGGGCTATAACTCCGCCAAAAAAAGTACGCCGGGAAATCTCATTACATCAGTCAACGGAGGTTTCCAGCTGGCTTCCGATACAATTTTGGTTATTGTCCGTCGACTCTATAATTTGGGTAGAAACTGTAGTTAAACGTAAATTTTGGATACGAAAAATGTAGTTTTTTTGCAGGTTTTTCAACGGACCTGCTTGGAAAAAACGAATTTTCCCAGGCTAACGGCTTATATGCTGAAATAGCTTACTACTTTCTGTTTCTGAAAAACAGAAAAAAAATATAGGTTGTTGCGATAAGTTTTTCGCAACATCCGGTGACGCGAACCCCTAGAAATTCCACATAGAACGCAGCTATTTGGGTCATCAGGCGACAAACCGCATCACCCTTGCTCGCGGACTGATACCAAAAACGCTTCGCTGGCCGTCCAACTTCACCGCGCCGAAAAACACTACAATCCCAAGGCTTTTTGATCAATTCAAAACCTAGTTGAAAATCTACAGCGATCGCCGAGCTATGGGGAGCCAAACCTAGCGTGACAACCTCGCAGATCCGGCGATTTACTGCGCACTATTTGGAACCCTGGTCAGAATTAAACTCCGACCCGGAACCTTAATGTAAAACACTGTAATCATAGAATTTCCTCATTAATTATGCAAATTAAGTCCTCATTTGCATAATTTGCATTTAATTATGTACATCTCTCTCTCAGCTACCTACACACCAAAAATAATGAAAATATGTTGTTCCTGTCTGGACTTTTCGCATTAATTATGCAAATTAGGTCATCATTTGCATAATTAGTATCTGTTGAAGTTCCGCATGCCATAGGTTACATACATTACATGTATGTAAGTTGTATAATGTAAAACACTGTAATTATAGAATTTCCTCATTAATTATGCAAATTAAGTCCTCATTTGCATAATTTGTATTTTATTATGTACATCTCTCTCTCAGCTACCTACACACCAAAAATAATGAAAATATGTTGTTCCTGTCTGGACTTATTGGCTTTTAAACATTTCGCCAGAAAGTGCCCTGCAGTTCCAGAACAAGCCGCTAGGGGGCCCAAACTCATATGACTTCTTCCCAATCACGAGAGCTACCTTCCATCAAAATTTCATGACCCTAGCATGTCCAGATCGCGAGATATCAAAACCGGAAGTTGCGCTGCAGTACCAAGGGAAGCCACTAGGGGGACCAAAATCTAATCATTTCCAGTTTTCGTCAC